CCCCCCCGATTGTGGCCCTTGCCCTTCAGGTCTGGAAAAGAACAAACCAACCATTTAAGATTAAAAGGGCAGCATTTACTCAAGGACAAAGTTCGGAGCGTTGAAAAAGAGCTGAAACGGAAAAGGAAACACAAGGAAGAAATAGCCCAAGTGATGGCACACTGAGAGGGGGGTTTGCAGTGAATGAAGTGAATCGGACTATGTGTAAATTTTTAAACATAAAACTATGTCCACAATAAAAGATTAGAATAAAACTCATAAAAAATTAAAAACAACCCTACAGTTCTACTCTGTATACAAGATAAACATTACTCTCTATGCGGGACCTTCTAATGTGATCCTTTTCAGAGCAGGTGGTGGTGGAAGCCAGGTACCATCAAAACAGGCTCAATGGCTGCCGACGACAACTGCACAGAAAGCGCCTGATGCAACGGAGTCTTTTAGGCACTAATGATGTCTTTTAAATTTTTTCCTGTATTAAGAAGTCAATATATCTCCACTGATGGATATAATCACAAGTTATTCTTCTTGACAGCTTGCCCCTCTCTTACCTAAGAGTAACTGAAAACTGAATTGTGAGCACAAAATTAGGGGGTGAGGACTGACCTAGAATCCACATCTCCTGTAATTTGCCAACAACCAACCAGGCTGTTGATCATTCCTTCACTGCCATGGCTAGTTTATCTTGCTGGGGTTTATTGTGCCCTTAGAACGCAGACAGCTGATTGCAGGGAGCAAAGGGTGAGTGTCTATGTACACCCAGACAGCACTATCACCAGTTTCCATGTCTGGGTCCAGTAAGTTTCTCACCTCCCTCTTCCCACATTCGAAACAGAAAAAGCTCTTATCTGAATTGACCTTCAGACCTAACCAACAACACCCATAAACTCAGGCTCAGCATAAGGTTCTCCACTTAAAAAAGACAAAGCACGGATGGTAAATCTCACCCCCGCCTTAGAGAGCCAAGGGCACGTCGGGGGAGGGGGAAATCTGAGAGCGCCCCGAGGTGCCCTAAGGAACTAGCATACATGGTATCCCACACAGGAAGAGGGCTGTGGGCCCATCCCCCTGGAGCGAGGGGGTGGGGGAGCCTGGCATTGATGACAGTATCGCGATTCGCCAGACACAGGCCCCAGGCAGCGACCGGCGATAAACCTCGCCAAAGCCAGTGCTGGGAACAGAGGCTGGTTCGAACTCCCGGACCAATAAACAGTCTGCAGAGTCTCCAAGTCTAAACGTGGAGCAGGGCCTCCATCCGATGTATCCAGGGGTGACCTGGGCGGTCGGGTGCCTGGGACTCCCGAAACCTCCGGGACTCGGCCACTGGGCGCATGCTACCGCGCTAGGGCCCCCGGCGCGCGCTGGACGTTCCAGTCCCTCCGGCCCCGATCCTCGAG